TATATATATATATATATATATATATATATATATATATATATATATATATATATATATATATGCTATTCATATATTATTAAAGTAACGCATAAGAAAATTAAATGCACACTTAATTCAGCGTATTTTAAAACTGAGTTTGAACTTCCAACGCTTTGCAAATAAAACTCTATATAAAATATATTAGTTTATCATCTTTCCGTTTTAGTGTTAAAAATCCATTCATAAATGCAATATGCTATTACAACTTCTTAACATTCTACAATCTATCATTTATAATCATCCATATTTTAATTTAAAGGTATATCTATTAATTAATTTGATTTGTTTGTGTTAATCGATTAATTTAATCTATTCATTTAACAAAGAATCTATCGTTTTGCCTCAACTAAGAATATTAGACGGACTGTATAAAATCTATTAAAAATATTTTTAAAAAAGTAGCAAAGGGATTTTTACAACTCAAATGCACGTGTTCCTTCTCAGAAACATACTCTATGTTCCTGTACGATTGTCTGTTATATGCAGCATGATGCTATTTGCGTGTCACCTTCCTCAGGAAGCTCTGCGCGTGAAATCTGCACAAGAGTAGAAAAAATGAACTCATAAGGCGTCCAGCAAGGCTTTTTGTAAATAAGGGACTGTGCGCCACCTCCTGGTGATTTAGAGAAGATTTAGTAAGAAGCCAAATCTCCTTGTAGTCTAAAAATCACACGAGTTCATTTAGAACACGTGCCTGCGAGTGCCTTAAATAGCTATCATTTGTGCACTTAGAGAATTTCAATGCATTTTAAGTAAGCCACCTGAAAACATTTTCCCTGAAGGACTCAAAACAATTTAAGGAAATGCGTAATTCGGTTGTTGCGTTAAACAGCTTGACGATCTAAATGGAACCTGACCCTTGAAACACGGCACATGTTCCCGACCGACATTGTTCAACACAAACGTTTTGCTTTAGGGAATTTTGCAGGGGGGAAAAGAAATGGCATGTGGGAAGAAGGCCTTTCCCATTGCTGACCTAACGCCATCATCTCATGGACAAAGACCGTAATTAGCGAGCTTTGACGGCGCGGGCTTGCAAATGTGGCATGTTCATTACCGCACCACTACTGCAGCCACTATGCATTTATCTCTTCTAGTAGGTCTTTCTCACCGCAGGCTCGCCGTGCACGGTTTAGATGGGAGAGAGAGAGGGGCTACAGACGATTCCAGTTACCTTGACACTCTAATAGACTGCCATATCCTCAACCAGTGCAGTCGAGCAAACCAGTGGAGCAAAAATCATTAGGTAAGCAACATAATCACAACCAGATCTCCCGCTTCCATCGGTGTACCTCTGCCCTCTCTCAAGGCTACTCTATGTTTTTATACAATACTTTTGAGCTTTTGCCTCGCTCTTCTCAAAATCTTGCCACTTTCCTCCTCGTATACATCCTCCAGTTAAAAGAGATGCTGCTGACTTCACCGCTGTTTAATCTGCGCGAGGTAAATGACCTCTCGGATGAGCTCGGGTCGCTATCTGCGGCTATAGAAGTATGTTATCACCGTTATTAGAGCACGTTAAACAGTGGCTGAGAGTGTAGAGACACCGGGCGAAATTGGAAGCTTATTGTGATTGATGGGTTCCTATTAGGCGCTCGCTGTTATCGCGGCGGATGGAGGGGAACGGGGCACTGAGTTGTAACACAACAGATTACCTGAGCCTGTAGTCTCCCGAAGGATGTTTAAATAAAACATAGTCGCTCCTTTTCTCTCTACTTTTTCTCCCCACACCTTCATTTTCACTCGCGGGCCACTCCACCTACCCAACGCCATGTGCAATTTGCCCGAGCCTCTCTACTCAATAAACTGACATTGCGCTCATATTTCCTTTTGTTTCCCCGACGGTGAAGGAGTGCCGCCGCGATACTAGTACGGGGAGGGAATCGTATTTTGGTCCGCGTGTTTCCACAGACCTTTTTTCTTCCCTTTCCTCCATTTTTTGGCGCACTGTGCCAACATGATTGATTGTGACTCGCAAACCAGGTGTCCAGCTCTGCCCAACAAATGACTTTGGCCCCTACCAGTAGACCTTGACCAGACAGAAATCAATATTTCACCATTAAAATATATCAAAGAAGAGTTAAGGCTGCAGCTGTCCAAGGCGCCCTTTTGAACATTAGATCCGACACTTGTAGTACAGGGGTAATCAATATATAGTGGTTCACAGATCATTTGTGGTCACCTTTTTGGTCGTGATGGATACTTGGAGGAGTAGTGATTCATTTTGTCACCCCATTAATGCGAACTGTGTCAAGTCATTCCTTCATTTCATCTGGAAGAGATTCCTATTCCTCAAAGTATGAGGGAGAGTATATATGGGGGAAAGCAGCAAAGGGGGGTTGGTGGTAAATGAAGAGCACCAGCCTCCAGGTTCCCATTTCAATGAGAATCTATAGAGATTTTGTGTCCGGTGGAGTGTGAAAATCCCTTTGAGATAGAACAAACATTCTTGAAGGCCAAACCACAAGACAGATACATACAGAATAGATGGCGGAACATTTGCCAGCCATTACAGATTAAGTTTATCCTGGTCAAATAGTATTTCAGATATAAGCAACTATAAGCAGCAACTGTGGATGTAATCAGACTGCAAAGGGCATTTAGTTAGCAGACAAAGCCAATTTTCAAAACTTGCATCAGTTAACAATATATTTACATATCCTTGATTATTGCTTTTTGTGTGTGATTCACTCAGGGCCGTCCTTAGGGGCGTGCAACTGGTGCGGCCGCACCGGGGCCCGCGGCGAATGGACCCCGGAACACAGGTGAACCTATACAGCAAAATGAAAAGAATGGAGTCTGTTTATCATTAAAGGAGGAGCATGTTTTTCAGTGAACCTCATGAGCAGCCTGCTGCTGCGTGACACGATTACTTGTACTCAGAGACTGTATCCTGTCTGTATCCTGTTTTAACTGTACTGCTTTTCTAAAACCCATCCAGTGCCTCAAGCGATCATCCGAGTTTTCTCAACCCATATGCTACGTTGAATACCTGCTGCGACGAAGATTATTAGTTACATGCAACTGTCATTAAAAATGGATTTATTCACCCTCTGCAGGGAGCGGTTCTGCCCTCCTGATCACAAGAGTGTGCTTTAACAGTATGCTGGGCTTTCTCACTAAGTAACCCCATACACTTAATAAAAAAATGTCAAAATGTTTCATTTGCATAGTTCATACCTACTCAACCTGCTAATAATCTGTGCTATAGATCTAGTATATTTTCTAGATGCTTCTTAGACATGTTTATTCAATGCATTAAATGGTCATAAGATAAATGTTACTGGGACACTTCCATATTCCTCAGGGTTGGATTGGGACCACAGAATAATAAACATTTGTAATTATTCTGTACAGACATATCAAACCATTGCTTTGGTCAACAGAAATTACAATATATATATAAGCACACTCAATGTCCACTACTATATCTCAACATAATTAATTTCCTTACAAACAGTGATCTAGTGCATGCATAACATTCCTTCAATACAGTACTTGTATTATAGTCTTCAACTCTATAGTGATATGAATGAATTCATGCTACTAAACATTACAGTTCAAAATACTTGTTGTGAGATTCATTGCTGCCAAGATAAGGAGATCTTGAAGAGACAGTGAATATTTAGGCAGGAAGAGGCAAAACGGAGATGGTACTCCTGTCACAGAGGAGGAGAAAGAAGAGGCTGAAACGATAAGTGATTACGGTCAGACGCTCCATTCATCATCTGCTGCTGTGTGCAGTTTCCAGGGTCTTCACTGTTATCAGCACAATATAGACTGAATGTCAGTGCCCCTGAATAAATCTCCCTCTCTACCTCGGACTGATCCACCATTATAAGACCTTGGTCCTGCTTGATCACCACATTAACATCTCTTATGGGTATGGAAACTAAACCTAAACCTTTCCTTAAACACACATGAAAAAAAAGACTGTGTGCACTGCCTTCAAGACATCAGACACACAAGTCCATATTTCCACTAATTTAGTGGTTCTTTTACTGTTGTAGATATCCCATAGTATAACAAAAATATTATATATCTCTTCATTGTGTTTCCACTCATTTAGTGGAAATATAAGCCATTTTAGCCATAATGGACCAATGTTGCCAGAAATAATAAAATGTTTGAGAGTTGACACAAACACACAGGTGCGTTCAAAATGACCGGGTTTACATGTGTTGTCTGCGGCCCAGTGATAAACTAATGAGCTAATGTTGACTATGTCCTGGCTTTGTTGTTCCTCGCAGCGCTTTCTGCTCATTTCACATGATGGACGATACAGTTTGCAAGCTCATACATTGCTATAAAGCAGCTTATAGTGTCCTGTCACTCTGTATCAGCACCGGTGTGATGATAGACATGGTAGCACGATATATTTCTTAACCTCGCAAATTGCCTTCAGAAAAAAAAAACACAGCCATTGTAACAAAAACGTGCACTGATGTGACTGATATTAATATATCAGGATTAATGGGTAAACAGGCCGGGTTTACCTCTTTTCGTGACATAGACAAAACTATTTTTTGGGCACCCCTTCCCTATTAATATAATAGGCCTAATTAGACGCCAGATTTAATTTTCAAGAATAAAAACGAGACAGACGTGCAGTCCGTTCAATAGCCTATGTCTTACCGTAATTTTCACAACACGTTTTCCAGAATATTTTCTCACCAAATTATTTTTATATAAGAAGATGAAGAATTTAAAATGTTCCTGAATGTCAGCTGAATGATAGACATCCTACACGAAAGTAGGCTACTGAACGGCCTTTTCCCTCACCAACAAGGATTTCGTATTGCAGCTGTGTTTGAAAGCTCGGGTATTTTAGTCACTGCAGATTCAGAATAGGGTTCTGCTTGCCTGCGCATCCTCTATCTGTTAATTGAGGCGAGGGAGAGAGCAGTTACTAGACCTGTCAGTGTTAATCAAGCATCATCTCTTAACACAAGCGCGCTTTGCAACGAGCTGAAGATTAATATTCCGACCGAAACAGATGATAAATCATTTGTACATAATTAGCGCTAGGCAAGGTTATAGCTGACACGAATTTTTATCTTAATTACGGGGGAAATTTGTTCCATTAATTTAATTTGTCCCGCACGGACGCGCCCGCGCCTAACAAAGTTAATCTTACACCTGTCAGTGCGCTGCTGAGGCTGTCTCCAAAGCTAGTGCGCCAACTCGCTGTCTACTGCATCCTAAACAGCATCCTTACCCGACATAACTTCGTGAGTGTCTGATTTGAGAAAACACGATGCCTGAGTGATTCGTGAACAAACGGGTCTTCGGATATTTTCGAAGTAGAACATTTTCAATAAATCGGGTGAACCGGTTTAAGCGATTCCTTAATTAATTGTATTTAATCGGTCAAAGAGGTTCTCGAGTCAACAACTCACTGAACCGAGAATCGACATGTAATGAGAACAGAGTGAACTGATATTAATTATTAAAGCGCTTGAGGGCTAGTCAGCTGAAGAATATCAGAAAAATAAAACCTACTGAATTCGCTGTACATGTTTTATTTTTTTATGTTTTGTTTTTAACAGCAACCAAAAATCAACATGTACTTGAAACTAAGTTGATTTTTTTTTAAATGCTAATTTAATTTAGTATAGCCTACTATAAATTATTTGTAAAAAAAAAAAAAAAAAAAAAAAAAAATCACTTGGTTCTTTAATCATGACTGGGAACAAATCTGGGGCACAGGCTACAACAAAGAAAAACAAAGTAGGCCCTAACAGCAGTAACTTCTAGGCTTAGGGCGTTTGTTGGAAGATGTCAAAGGTGTCAGGTGGTGACTTAATTACGCCATTAAATAAAATAAAATCTGAGCAGTTTTGAAGTGGTTCTTTGCAACAAACTGTTCGAAAGAACCGATGTGCAGAAATGAGCTGTTGACTTTGCACGACTAACCTACCTGCAGAGCGTCAAATAAAGTGTTTGGCTTGTCAGCAAAGACTCGTTGGTTAAGAATTTCAACTTTCGTTGAAAACTAACGAATCGACATTGTTTCACACCATAGGCTATGTGCCAGGATGGGCTATAGTTTTTTCTGAGCATTATCTGTCAGAGCGTGGCGTTTTGTTTAGCTGGTTAAACAAACAATTCTGTTCATAAAGTATGAGTTCGATTACTTATCGAAAAACAAACGATGTACTTGCTGACTTGATAATGAAACGGTCAAAATCGCCTCAGGTGAAACTGTAAGTAGGCCTAGGCTACCTCAAAAGGTTAATCAGCAAATGTGAAGCGGCGACCAAACTGTGGGACAATAGGCTACTGCTCTCTGTTGGAATTCGTATAGTTTAGGTTTGTCTTCTATACAGTTTGAATAACACAAAGGGTTTGATGACTTCTGACGTTATAGCTGTATCTCATTTTAAAGCAAACTAAATGGCTGCTTTGTGGAACAGACTCTAGTCTTCCATGTTCAACGATTAGTAGAACCGGTTCATGTACTCTTTTGTCCAAATCATCTGCAGAGTGTTGTCGCCATCTCCTGGACAATGTTGAAGTCAGCGCTTTAAAATACTAATACTAAGATATGCAAGGGTAGTTTGACTTCTCAGCATTCGATTTAATAACAATGTATATTATCATATAAATCTTCCAAATACAAGTTCAACTGAGAAAAAGCCTTTATGAAATATTGCAATACAGATTTCATACAAACATGAAATAATGGAAAAAATAAACACTTTTTTTGTATTCAAAAACTTGTGCAGATTTATGTCCTCTCAAATACAAACAAAACGGCTTATATTATGAATTCTATGTATATTAACACTTCATCATTTTGAAAACGAAATATGCTATATATATATATATATATATATATATATATGCAGATTGTAGGTTATTGAACTTAAAATCGTTGCCATTGTGAATACTGCTGACATAAGAAACTGAGAATTTTGTTAAGATACTTACACAGCGAGGTTAAATAAAATAAAATCTGAGCAGTTTTGAAGTGGTTCTTTGCAACAAACTGTTCGAAAGAACCGATGTGCAGAAATGAGCTGTTGACTTTGCACGACTAACCTACCTGCAGAGCGTCAAATAAAGTGTTTGGCTTGTCAGCAAAGACTCGTTGGTTAAGAATTTCAACTTTCGTTGAAAACTAACGAATCGACATTGTTTCACACCATAGGCTATGTGCCAGGATGGGCTATAGTTTTTTCTGAGCATTATCTGTCAGAGCGTGGCGTTTTGTTTAGCTGGTTAAACAAACAATTCTGTTCATAAAGTATGAGTTCGATTACTTATCGAAAAACAAACGATGCACTTGCTGACTTGATAATGAAACGGTCAAAATCGCCTCAGGTGAAACTGTAAGTAGGCCCAGGCTACCTCAAAAGGTTCATCAGCAAATGTGAAGCGGCGACCAAACTGTGGGACAATAGGCTACTGCTCTCTGTTGGAATTCGTATAGTTTAGGTTTGTCTTCTATACAGTTTGAATAACACAAAGGGTTTGATGACTTCTGACGTTATAGCTGTATCTCATTTTAAAGCAAACTAAATGGCTGCTTTGTGGAACAGACTCTAGTCTTCCATGTTCAACGATTAGTAGAACCGGTTCATGTACTCTTTTGTCCAAATCATCTGCAGAGTGTTGTCGCCATCTCCTGGACAATGTTGAAGTCAGCGCTTTAAAATACTAATACTAAGATATGCAAGGGTAGTTTGACTTCTCAGCATTCGATTTAATAACAATGTATATTATCATATAAATCTTCCAAATACAAGTTCAACTGAGAAAAAATGCCTTTATGAAATATTGCAATACAGATTTAATACAAACATGAAATAATGGAAAAAATAAACACTTTTTTTGTATTCAAAAACTTGTGCAGATTTATGTCCTCTCAAATACAAACAAAACGGCTTATATTATGAATTCTATGTATATTAACACTTCATCATTTTGAAAACGAAATATGCTATATATATATATATATATATATATATATATGCAGATTGTAGGTTATTGAACTTAAAATCGTTGCCATTGTGAATACTGCTGACATAAGAAACTGAGAATTTTGTTAAGATACTTACACAGCGAGGAACAAAGTGAGTTGCACCATGAAATGAGGCTCTTGAAGTGCAGTTGTTCAGCATATATAATTTTCAGTGTGGAACCATCAAGTATTTTAGCCAAGATTTTATTTACTATCAATTTGAAAGAGAGAGGCTTTGTACCTGTAGAGATTTTATCAATAAAATAAATAAATAAAAAAACAGAAATTTCTGGAGGAAATTAATCTCAAATCTTTTTTTATCAACCATGAAGGATATTTGTTAAAAAAAAACTCATTTATGCCTTTTAGCAAAGCTATTAAATGTTGTTTTTTTCTTTATAGATTGTTTGGTTTCTATTTAAGAGCAAAACTTAAAATCCCACTTTCGCCCCATTTCATGTCTGCTATCGTGTGAATATTACTTTGTTTTTACAGTATCAGCCTGATTATGTGAACAAATACCTTCTTATTCAATATTCCTTGACATTCAAGGAACAAACCCAGTCTGGCTAAGAGGAAAAGTAAGACAGAGATGTCATACTTTCATTCTGAATGAGAAAGAGTGCAGTATTGTACAGGGCTGAGATAGAGAGCTGTAGTCACTGAGAGGTCCTATAGTGTGCTTGTTCTCCAGTCTCGGAAAGGAGGAATCGCTGTCCTCCTCATATTTCGTCTAGGTAGAGGGTCACACTTGCCGCCTCTCCTCAGCAGGAAGAGGCACTGATCTTCTCTGATACTTCAAGATCTGATTTGGCGACAAGAAACCGGAGCCGTCCTCCCCCCAGACGAATCAAATCGACAGCACTGTTAGAGACAGACAGAGCGGGATTCAAATGTCAGGGTTAAAACAACACATTTAAATGGCAAAGGATCATGCCTGGTGAAAATGTTAAGTTAAAACTTTGATTGCAAACATTAACTGTTGGCCGATGATGTATATAGAGCATTGACCTCTGGTAGTCTGCCCCAATGAGACTGGTCCCATTCACTGCCAGAATTCTGTCACCAATGCAAAGTCGCCCATCTGCAGCAGCTGGTCCATCTGGAATCAGTGTCCTGATGTAGATTCCAGGAGAGTTCAGAGGGGTGTGCTATATTGCGAGAATGAGAAAACAGAGACCTGTTTGTTGCCTGTTTCTTTTAAAACAGAAAATCATAGTGAAAGAAAGTTTCATCAAGCTAGTATTTTTTTTACAGCTCATGATATAAATCAGAACTTTGTGTTATTTTTGTTTTTTTTTCATCACTTTTAGCTTGCATGCAAACAAATGATCTAACACATAATCAGGAAAATAGAAACTGATCAGCACAAAATGTTTTTTTCTGTTTTATAATAATAATATTGAGGGTTGAAAATATGAGCTCTGTTCCAAAACCTAAGCTGCCTTGCTGTCTATAAATATAATAGTTTCTCTTAGCATGTCAATTGTATTGGATGATTTTTAATTAGCCTGTTGCAAAACATTCTGGGATTACCATGGAGGATGTAATATTGCATTATATTTGGGCTAAATCAGATTATAAAGCAGCATCATTTTACTGGTGACGTGTATGAACACCTTCAAATAGTGAGTGTCTTTATGATACTCTTATTGGAAAAATGTGTCTGCTGCGTCATTCCTGCAAGTTGCTTCTTGCATGCTTCCCTACACTTTCAAAGTGAAATGTCCAGTGAGTGACATTGAAGGACATTTAGTTTTATCTGAAACAGATAAACGTGAATCTGGCAACATTTCATTAAGTTGATTGTTGTACGTATCGCAGCCATTCGTAAATGTGTGGCATTTTATCTTGCTTCTACAAGTCTTTGAGCTCTTTTATCGTGAGTTTTTTTACACAAGACTCATACCCAAATTAACCACATCGCAACTGTACCAGGTGCGCTACCGAGCAAGTTTACTACAACAGAAAAGCCATATTTATGGAGCTGGTTATGTGATGCAACTATCAAAATGATGATTTTTAATTAGTTTACAAATCATGCAGGATGATAAATGTGTTTTGAGATGATTACAATGTATTGAAAAGGGAACCATGCATAAACATGGCATTATTAATAGAAAATCTGCCATTGTAATCATTTGTTTGAAAAGCAATACTTTTTTTTTGGTGTTTTATTACTGCTAGTTTTCATTTAATCTGGATATTGCATTTTTCCAATGAGCCTAGAGTATATGGTGTGTATTAGCAACATGCTGTCTAGGTTTTGGAACAAATCTATAGTGTTGTGGTTATAGGCATAGAACATTGACCACCAGTGTTAAATGTCAGCAGACCAATACTGCGCAGACTCACAAGTCCATCGATAAGTCCCATTCCCAGGCCGTAAGGTCCTTTATCCAGGTCCACTACAAAGACGGAACAGATATCATCAGAGTTTGGGGCCAGATGAGAGACAGGGACAGGGAAAGGAAAACCACAACCACTCAAAGGGCCTGGAGTGGGGCAGGGATAAACAAACAAAACACACACAGGACTCAGTGCTCATTTGACGCACACACAGACTCCGAAGTCAGGCCAATAAACAAAATCAATATGTTCACAATGTGCAAATGCATCTGCTGCACATGCAAGCAAAGTTATTAAATGATGCAGAAAGTAAACACACAGAAAACTGACAGAACTGTACACATAGAAATCTGTGCATATGTTTGTAAGAAATAAACACATGCATTCACACATAAACTCATTCAAGTGAATTAAAAGAGATGTAAATCAGACATGATTACATTTCTGTTATTGAATAATCAAAACTAACATGTGCAGACATTAACAGAGTCATTCCTACTACACAGTACATTTTCAGATCTTCATCATGTCCCAATTTGATAAAATATAAAAATTATTATTATAATTATTTTCTTTTATAACAATATCAAAATTGAGGATTTAAAAAAAAATTTAATTGGTAATGAATTTAGTTTTTATTTATTTATTTATTTTAACTCAATTGTCCTCTCTTTACAATCCTATTAGTCTTTTGCAATATGCCTTTAAGAAAATGCAGCTCCTAAATAATATCATGTTCCAGGAAATTACAGTTTTTGGTGAGAAAACCACAGCACTTCACTATTAATCATACATCAGCATCTTTTTTATTATTAATTAATAAGAAAAAGTATTAGTAATGGATTTAATGAATTCGGTGGTGTTTTTTTGTCTTGTATTGTTTGTCTTACTCTAAAAAAATTACATTCAGTTTGATTAAAAAAAATAGAAATTGACATGCTAATTCAAGATATATTTTAAAATTTGATTAAAAATTGTCTTTATTGCCATCCTGTTGTAGGCTCTATTTTTTGATGATGGAAACATTTAGTAAATAATCCAGTTAAATCAATAAAGTTCTATCAGACTGGAGTCGTGTGGATTTCTTATTGTGGATAATTATTCTGACGGCACCCATTCACTTCACAGGATCTATTGGTGAGAAAGTTTATGTAATGTAATGATGTAAATTTCTCCAAATCTGTTCTGATGAAGAAACAAACTCATCTACATCTTGGATGGCCTGAGAGTACATTTACAGCAAATTAAAATTTTGAGGGTGAACCATTCCTTTAAAGAAAAACATCATTTTTTATTTAATTTAAAATACTGAATGACAGGAATGACCCAAAAGTCAAAATCTAGCAGAAAGAACACACACATCCACGACCCAAAAGGCGTTTTTGACTTGCCTTCAATGCCATTGCTGATGAAGCCATTGATTTTCTTGTGCTCTGGAGTAGAACGCTTGCAACCATTGGACTTTGTGTGAGAATGTGTATGTGTGTGCTCTTGTGAAGCATGCTCAGGGTAGTGGGCAGGATTGGACTGTGTGTTGGAGTGTATATACGTGTGTTCCGGATAGAGGGGCGTATTAGGTGGAGTCAGTATACAAGAAGAGTCTGTCGCTTGGGTTTGGTTGGCGTAACGGATGCTGGTCCCGTTTCTGTAATGAATGCTATGTGGCGGCTTGTCTCGTGGTCGTTCCTCAGCTCCCGCTCCCTCTCCTCTTCCTCCGAGACCCGCTGAGGAGCCCCGCACCTCCCCCTCACCCTCCCCACGCAAAGGAGGTGCTGGATGTGGACTGGAGTGAGGCTGAGGAGGCTCACGCTGGAGAACAGAATTACCACGTTATCATCATTTATTAATATTGATATTTTATCACAGAGCAAAACAGAAGCTGACAACCCTTAATAATAATGAAAAAAAAAAACCTTAAGATCAAAGATGTCAGTTATTCCTTTAATTTATTTACATGCTGGTTCCATGTTGACTTTAGGCATATTTATAGACTGAATGCAATGATGAGATGAAAAAATATGATTTTAAAATTGTAAAATTTTGCTTTGGAGAATAGGACTTTATTTATATTGTTTTCTACAATATTTTGAAGACAGTGGCTCCACAGTTTCAGCTAAAATGCATTAATATTGTGACTACCACATCAATTAATAGGATTGGCTGCCCTCTGCTGGAAATCCAAAATACATTGGAGAAATTGTATTATCTTCAAATAGATCTCCCAGTGTTACAAAAAGAAAGGTGTTTTGTTAAAGGGTTTATAATAGGAAATGTGAATTTTGTTGATTTCAACTGCCTGAGTAGTTGAAAGATAAATCAACATTACTCCAGTACACTGGTGGAGGATTAAACTGGCAATTAAACTGATGGCAGAAACAAACAAACAATGAAATAAGCCTTGGATAATCTTTAAACAATGTAGAAACACTGGGAAATTTGTAGCATTTTTTCTTTGTAAACTGACTCACACATGGCCCATAATTTAGCCGGCAGCTCCTATTTAAACAGCTAATCTTGTAATCGAATTAAGAATGACTCTCATGTCTAGAATTTAAATCTTAAAGTTTTAAGCTACAGTCCTTCAATTAGTTCACAGTTATTAAGAATGACTTGCAAAAGTCAGATGCTGATAAATACCACAAAAAATACAAAGCAGCATAACAGTTTTCTACATTGGTAAAAATAAGTAATGTTTCTTGAACAACAGATCAGCATATTAGAATTATTTCTGAAGGATCATGTGTCACCTGGGCATCCTGACGGTCTGCACAGCCATTAGAAGACTGGGTCTTGGTACGAAGACCCCAAAGGAAGTGACGAACGTAAAGTAGTTGGCGGTATATACTGTCCTCTACACTGTCACTCTCCAGGTCCACCTTGAATCCAGCACTCGGCAGCACAATAGGAGGGTGGTTCTCAAAACTCTCCACTAGATCAACTTTTGAAAAGATGCATATGCATAATGCACACTAGAAAGCACAATGTCTCTGGACATAAAATGGAGAGGATTCATTTTTATGCCTTTTATGTGTCTACCTGTTCTGTAGATATATGCCTCATCTTCACTGCTGGGTTGCCAGATTGGTAGATGACCCAGCTCAGCCATGAGCTGGTACTGTGTGAGGATTCTATGTAGCTGGACAGGCTTCAGAGACGGATGCTCTGCACATAGAGCTTTCCAACTCATCTACCGACAAACACACACACACACACGCACGCACGCACGCACGCACACACACACACACACACACACACACACACACACTAAAAATCAAGGTTCCAAATGGGGATTCTCACAGCAATGCCATAGAAAACCAGTTTTGGTTTCTCAAATAACCTTTCAGTGAACTATGTTTTCTCAGTGTGAAGAAGATTTTAATAATATTAAGAGCCGTTTAGAAACACAATTTATATATCTAAATAAACTTAGTTTAAAATAAATTTTGCTAACTGCAATTAAGTATATTAATAAATAAATAAATATTTATAATATGCATGAACTACTAGACTCAAATGAACCAATGATTTTTTTTTTGACAGATTGAAAATGATCTGAAAGAACCAGATGTCCTATACTTTAAGGAAACAGATATACATTTCTCTCCTATGAAAAATAAAATTAATAAAATTCAATCAAAAAAATTTATTTTCGGTTTCATTTTTATTCTGTTTTTATTTTGCCTTTGTAAAGCAGCATAATAATTGGCATATGCAAAAACACAAATAATGAACACAATACAAAACCTGAGAAATTAAAGAACAGCCCAACACACCTAGCTTCAGTGCGTTACCTGTGAAAGCTGTTGAGGGGGTGTAGCCAGGATGCTCACAGCACTACAGAACTTGGCAAAGAATTTCTGGGTGAGATGATTGTGCCCTGCTCCTTTAGCCCAGTCCAGTAGCATTTTCACACTAGCCTGGATCTGCAGGACCCGAGAACGCTGAAACCAGCCACGTGCGGGGCCTACAAACACACAATCACATGTTCAATTGTTACACAAAGGATACATATGCGTACACTAAACAAACACTTTTCAGAATCATGCCATACTGTAATAATGGTAATAAAATTAAGAAGCTTATGTAAAGATTGATTCAGCATCATAAGTTTACTACAGTATTACGTCACATTATGTGAGTGTAAGTGGCTCTGATCCTCTGTCTGTTATGACATAAAGAGGATTATGAGTGTCTGAAGAAATAATCTTCACCTGACCATGAATAATGTGAACACACAAAAATGACATGTATCTTACTGCCCTTTAAAAAAGGAAACTGGTGATGGTTTTGCAACATGCAATACTGACTGAAACAAAATTATTTAAAAATGTAAATATGGTCTTGAAATATATCAAATTTAAGCATATACTACTGTTAAAATGTGTGGGGTTGATTAAGAATTTAATATGTTTACTATGTATGCAGTAAACTGATCAAAAGTGACAGCAAAGACATTTATAATGTTACATTTATTTCTGTTTCAAATGCTGTTCTTTTAAACTTCTGCTAAATATATATATATATATATTGTCAAGTACCAAGAAAAAAAGACAATCTGGAACAAAAGGAAGCAAATATTTATTCCCTAAGAACTGATGGGGAAAAGTGCATTGGCTCAGTGGTTGCTGAATCTTCAACACTAGAGGGCAGAATAAATACTTTGCTCCAAATCATCAGTCTCCATTCTGACATAGATTCTGTGTCCCAATGTTCATACTATCCATCCTAAATAGTATGTGAGATTAAAATAAGTGTGTCCCAAAGCATACTGTTGAAAAGAGTATGCCAAAAGTCCCCTGATGGTCTAAGTGTGGATCCGTGCACACTCTAATGGCTAATATTGCCCACAATCCATTGTTCTTTGGTGAAAGACTCAGTTCAGAACTACAAACACAAATAAAAAGCGTTGAAAAAACTACAAACATGGTGGATGTGTTTACAGTTTACAGCAGGGGTCACCAGACACGGTCCTGGAGGGCCAGTGTCCTGCACAGTTTTACTCCAAACCTAATCAAACACACATGAACCAGCTAATCAAGGTCTTACTAGGTATACTTGGAACTTCCAGGCAGGTGAGTTGAGGCAAGCTGGAGGACACCGGCCCTCCAGGATCAAGTTTGGTGACCCCTGGTTTACAGTGACAGGGTGCGTGTAACTATGCGACTGAGCGGTGCGTTAAAGACACAATTGCATGACATCATAGTATGTCCCAAAGCTTGCCTACTCTTCTACTACACACTCAAAAGTGTGTACTTTTTCCTATACCAAAAGAGTACATACTTTAAGGGTGTAGTATAAGTAGGCACATTGGGACGCAGCACTTGTTTCATTATCCGTATGTCTCTTGCCCCTTTTTCTTTTGCATGCAACTGCAGACACACTACCTGTGTCCTGTTGTTGCCATAGCAGCAGTGCCTGCTTAATAAAAATATATGACCATAATATTTGAGTGTTTTGAATGTGTGTGTGTGCTAAACCGAAATCAAAGAGGTAAAAAGATTGCAGAAGCTGAGCTTGAACAAACCTTTATCTATGAGTTGATTGAAGAGTGAGACGTTGGTGAAGAAGAAGAGGTAGGCGAACATTTGACTCTGAATCTCTGAATGAACCTGGTACTGTTGCAGCAGGTCTGATGTAGTCTGAAACACACTCACAACCCTGCGAACTGCCTCTGGCATCACACACACGGCACACACACACTCTCCAACTGCCCGCCGGCACTGCTCTGATGAAGACTCCGTCCCAAATGGGTTACAGTCTAACAGGCCGGGCAACACAACGTACAAAGACTGAAATGTAAAGAACAGGCATTTATTATGATATGAATAACCAGACACCTACAGACAGACACTATTATTAGGGCAGTCAATTTAATATATTAATATAGTGGGATTAATTCTTAAAAAAAATATATACAGCTAATGAAGGTTTGATTTCTTGTGGTTCCACAGCGTTGTCATTCTCCTGCGGCTCTAGAGTTATTAGACACTGTTTTCTAACTGTTTTCTTTTGTAATATTTTGTAATTCATTGTCACATGATAAATCAGAAATAGTTCTAATATACTGATTTGCTGCTCAAGAAACATTTCTTATTATTATCAGTGTTGAAAACAGTTGGGCTGCTTAATATTGTTTTGGAAACCATGATATTTTATTAATTTTTTATGTATTTCAGGATTCTTTGATGAATAGAAAGTTTAAAAGAACAACATATTACAACAAATAGAAACATTTTGTAATATTATAAATGACTTTACTGTCACTTTTGATCAATTTAACACATTCTTGCTAAATAATTAAGTATTAATTTATTAAGTTATAATTTAATTTATAAATTAATTTCTTTGTTTCAATAATAATAATAATAATACAAATAATAATCTTATTGACCCCAAACTTTTGAACAGTAAATAAAACTAAACAATTTTGACCTCTACATCCACTTTCTGTAATAAATATTCAATGATTTACTCATCCGGCACAATAATGTCTCTGAATTATAATTTTATTATTCAGAAAACTGATATTAAATGAACTGCAATTCATCCTGGAAATTAACTGCTATATAATTAAGTAAATAATTAACTTACTAAGTTATTAATTCAATTAAAGTAAATAAATTACAAAAAAAAATAATCTATAAAACAAAAAAATGACTGACAGTCTACAAACAGAGAAGGGCATGAGGACAGGAGGTGGAGGAGAAGAAGACCTAAAAGACATGCAAGCAAACCAGCAGCCACACACACATTAAATAATTCATTCCCAGCAGTTCTGGTAACATCTTACAATGGTGGCGCCACACATATAACGTAACACTACCTTTTACCTTAGTGATGTAGTAAACACACTGCTGAAAGGTGTACATGATCACTTCCTCTAGTATGGTCATAGCTTCTTCATTTGCTGATATTGTTGCTGAGAGGAGAGATTCTTTAGATCCCGCTGCAAAAAGGAACAGAAAAAAATATAATTAGAAGAAATGCAATATCTTATGTCTTTTATACACCCTAATCCTCCTCGTCCATCGTCTATTTAATCTTGTTCTTAATTTTGTCAGTATTGGGCCCCATTGACCCAGTTTTCAATCCGTTCTTTACAAGTGCAGAGTGTGTTTCATACCTTTATCATCCATGAGCTCAATAGTCTGCATGTAAGCAGGTGATTTCTGCTGGATAAAATACAGTATTTCGATGGCATTGGACATCCAGAAGTAAATGAACTGGAGATCAGGTACTAGGTCTGAGATGCTGAGCAGAGACAGCGAGGCAGGATCTTGACTGTATAACCACACAAAAACACACATTCATTGGTTTGATTCAGTGGCAATGGCTTCAGAATTAGTGACCGCCTATTCAGGCACCGCATGACCTTAGAGTGTCACACGTTCAAAGTGCACACATGTGCGTATTATAAGGTGGAACATGATACTCACTGCTGAGCTTGCTTCTGTGCCAACTCCTTTGTCTTCTCCTGCGAGACACAGACACAGACGGCAATTAATGTCATAAACTTTTGAATAGCTTCATGTGGGAGGTATAATACCTTGGTATCATTTCTTCGTTTTCAGACTTTTCTTTCTTGCTCTTTTCTTTGCATGGTTAATAATATTGGGGCTGACAGTTGACCTTCTAAAATTGGATTTGAATAATTAATGAGTTTAAAGACAGTCATTAAATGCTTCAGGATGGTTTCACTGGGACTAGATTAAAGGGACATTCACAAATGACATGATTCAGCTAATTTTGTAGTGTTTAAATCAACAAAGGCAAATGCATTTGTCAACAAAGACAAAAGGGTATATGAGGTGACTTATGCAGTACTGACGCTCACAGCAGAAAATCAATCAATGGGTCATCTGGGATTTATCCTGTTTATGCAAATTATTTTGCTGTGCATTATATAAATATGAAACACCTTGGACATTACAAACATGCAGTATCTATGAAAACTCTTTCATTATTGAAGGGCAACATTGTAAATGAAACCCTGGAAAGTCATTTGTCATTTGAGACCAGACTTGCTGTGCTCGCCTTTCCATCATTTTCTTCTCCCATACTGAAACACAATCAGTCTCAGTGACATGATATCAACTACAGTGTCACAGTGGGAGGAGCCAGAGGATTGTGGGTAATGTAGTTTGGGTTTGGGTAACAGACCACTGAATGGGCCAAATCTGTGTAAATGTGTGTATTCGCTGCAAGAAATGAAAAGTTTTAAACAAGACTTTTCTGAAAGGTAAAATTTGTAATTTCATAAAAGCTAATATCAATTGTTTTAAATGGTAGAAGTGAATTAAGACATGACAACATTATCAAGTAAAATTAAAATGGATACTCATTTTGAGATTTAATTTACAGCGACAGTATTATTTAATTTAATAATTTAATTACTAGAGTTTTTAAAGATTAATTTTAAGTGGGATGATGAATAGAAATTAAGTTTATTTCACTTAAAAGTTGGGATGCACAATATATTGATACCATTTTGGATATTTAAATTATTGTTATCGATTGGTTTTAGATATTTATTGGTCTATATTGTACAGAGCCCCAGACATGATATGCGGACAAAAATATATTTATTGTGGCCACAATTTTAGAATTAGTTCCCACAAATGAAGAATTCCTTCCCTTGTTTTAGTTAAATCATGGCCATGAATTAAGAATTTTTTCCCTCGTTTTAGTAAATTGTGGCCATTTTGAATTAAATGAAATCAATTAGTACAACATTTACTAAAACAAAGAAAAAAAAATTAATAAGTCATGGGAACGAGTTCTTAATTCGTGGCCACAATTCAATTAAAATGCAAGAACCATTTTTTTAATTGTGGCCACAATAAATATATTTTTGTCTGCATGTCAAGTGTCATGTGTCATGTCAGCATGATAAATATCCAATACCAACTGATACCGATAATATCCAATATGGTACCAATATATTGTGCATCCCTACTTTTCAGGGAAGTAAACCTAAAACTAACTTGTTTTTATTTGTCTCTGCACATTAAATTGGGATAAAAGTATTTTAATGTGGAAAAAATAACACAACACATCTAAGCTGTTGATATGAGTACTAACCCATGCTATTGTCTGAATCCTCTTAGCAATTTTCAGCAATAGTTTACCGAAGCTGCCAGGAGGAAATGTATGAGCTGAGTGTTTGATGCATAGACAAAGCAAATATGCTGGTGTCAGCTTGTGGTCATCTCCACTCGGCTCAATAAGTGTCAGCACCCGGTTCACCAGCGCATCCTCATGAGCCCACTCAAATTCCAGCATGAGCTTTCGTTTCTGTGCACCTCGCGCAGGAGCCTTAGAGCTGCGCCTAGATGCCACTGGTTCATGTAATACGGCCCCACACATACGACATGCCTCTCCTTTCTCAGGCAAACCACCCGACTCACTATCGCATAGTCGTGCCAGTGCTCGGAGTCGAGTGAGAGTTTGGGCAGGAAGTGGTTTCGCACTTAGTGGATCTTTGTACAGGAAGATGTAATGAGCACCAAATGACAGCAAATCCCCATGACGTAGTGGAGTGGGGCGCTCAATACGCATGAAGTTAACCAGCACACTGCCATGGGCGACAGGCTCCAAAAGTAACCGCTGGTCTGAGGAAGAGCGCCGTTGCGATGCACGACGTATTCGGCAGTGAAGTGGAAGCACATCCGGAGATGACAGGCAGATATTTGGCCGTGCTGATGCGGTTTCCTGACCAACTGTGTGTTGCTCTCGATTCAAAAGGTAAACCAGACAATCCTGACAAATAAAAGCAAAGCAAATACACAAAATAATAACATTCAAATAATCAGATTAAAAACAGCTTAAAAACACATTCCTACATGACATATCAAATCTAAATTGACCAATTTATGATGTTTTATATATTATATGACGTAGTATATATGCACTACCACACAAAAGTTTGGAGTGGGGACAATTTTTTTAAGTTTTTTAAAAGAAGTCTCTTTATGCTCACTGAGGCTGCATTTATATGATCAAAAATACAGTAAAACAGTAATATTGTGAAATAGTATTACAATTTAAAATAACTCTTTTCTATTTTATTATATTTTAAAATGTAATTTATTTCTATGATGCAAAGCTGAATTTTCAGCAGCCATTACTCCAGTTTTCAGTGTCACATGATCCTTCAGAAATTATTCTAATATACTGATTTGGTGATCAAGAATATAGATATGAATATAAAGAATAGAAAATCAAAAGAATAATAGAAAGTTCAAAAGAACTGCATTTTAATGAAATAGAAATCGTTTGTAACATTATGTCTTCCCTGCCACTTTTTATGAATTTAAAGGGGTCATATGATGCGATTTCAATTTTTCCTTTCTCTTTGGAGTGTTACAAGCTCTTGGTGCATAAAGAAGATCTGTAAAGTTGCAAAGACTAAAGTCTCAAATCCAAAGAGATATTCTTTATAAAAGTTAAGAGTCAGCCACGCCTATCTAAAACGGCTCGTTCTAACACGCCCCCAAATGTCTACGTCAGGATATGGGAAGATTTGCATAACGCTGCCCAAATGTTCACGCAAAGAAAGAAGGCGTAACTTTTATTCTCGCTGTAGTATTGTTGCCGCTGCCGCCATGTCGTGAAGGCGCTGTGTTTTGTTGTGAAAGCGAAACTACTTTGGTTGGCCTTCCAAAAGAGGACGATATCTGCTTCGTCATGCCTGGAGCTGATCCGTGCTGGTCGCTGAGGAAATACATCAACTTAGGGCTGTGGATCGCCGGATCGGCTTTCACCGTGAATGTAGCGGAGTCCAGCCCGGGGTCGTCACATGTGGTTGCCGCAAGCCCACCGGACGCTCCTTCATCGAATCCGCCGGCCGCGCCGTTCTCAAGCCCACCCGCCTCTGCTCACTCAAGCCGGCCTCCGCATGCTCTAGGCCGCGGCTCACTCTAGGCCTCCGCTCACTCTAGGCCTCCGCTCACTCAAGGCCGCGGTGACGCTGTGTGTTTCGTTGTGAAAGCGAAACTACTTTGTTTGGCCTTCCAAAAGAGGACACGACTAGAAATCAGTGATTAAGTTGTATTTACAACACTGTTCCAGAACAGTTCAACCCAAATATTCAGGTGTGTCCAGCGCATTTTATGGAGGACTTTTTCCTGATCCTGGTAGAGTAGACTACAATGCCGGCTGTTCTGACTCACAGACTGCAAGTAAGTTTTTTATATTTAAAGAATTTGCAACTGACGATTCAAACGCAAGTTTTTTGGGCAGTGTAGAGTAGCACTTGTTGTTTGTTATTTCTCCGATCACAAATACAGACATGGTTTTATGTTACGCTCCGGCCGGACAGGGCATCACAATTTGGTAAGGGGCATAACATTTCCGTCACATGCTTGAGGTATTCGGCCAATCACAGCGCACCGGATAGCTGGCCAATCAGAGCACACTTCGCTTTTCAGACCGATGAGCTTTGTAAAAATCAACGCGTTTCAGAAAGACGGGGCATAGATGAGAAACAATGATGTACAGTATGTGGAAATAATGTGTTTTTTGAACCTAAACCGCATAAACACATTTCATTACACCAAATACACAAAATAATGTTCTTTTTATCATATGACCCCTTTAATGCATCCTTGCTGAATAAAAAGTGTTGATATCTTAAAAAATATATATTTACTGACGCCAAACATTTGAACACCATTTATATGTGATTTTTGCTTATACCTGTTGGTTGTACCCTTGAAGGAGCAGCAAATGTGGTGATTGGTAGAGTGAGTGTTTAACTCCGCCCCCATCTCGTTCTTTACGGGTCTCTGCATCTCGTGCGGAGCGTGTTCTGATTGGCCCTGGGAGGGTGGAGTAGTACCGTTTAGGTTCCTCACCAGGCAGACCCACCAAGTTAAGGCTGGTTTCACTGAGGCTGCGGCAAAATGAGGAGCCGTGCTGGAGTGTCATTGTACCTTTAGCACGGTTTCTTTGCAGCTTCCTTGCTTGAGCATTGATATCTGTTGGGGAGAGAAAACCACTTAGGTAATTGTGACTTATTGTCATCTGCCACAATCTAGCCTTATGGTGTTTAATTGAACAGACAAATTTAGCAAAATAAATTGACTCAAAATTGATTGATTGATTGACAAAAAGTGAATATGGAGGTGAAATGCAAAGCATAATAAAGATTAACATTTCAGTAACCTCAAGCAACCTCATTTTGAACAAAGCTATTGTATGACATGGAATATTGTGCATAAGTCATATTGACTAATTGTATGATAGTTTTGGTGCTTTTTAGTAATATCTGAGCTTGCATCCCTATTCAATGTCTAGAAAAAAAATGTAAGTTATAAATTCATTCAGGTTTGGAACGACATAAGGGTAAGTGATTACATTTTCTTTCATTTTTGGATAAACTAGCTCTTTCATATGACCTTGACAAAAAGACACTACATTATTTTGTCCCCAACTAAATTCTGTATTTACATATCTATTTTTTACATTTATGCATTTAGCAAATGCTCAAGTGACACTTAAGACTGAACTAACAGCTGGTGAAAATTCAGCTTTTCCATCACAGGAATAAATGACATTTTAAAATATATTCAAATAGCAAACAGTTCTTTTAAATTGTAATATAATTTCACAACATTACTGTTTTTACTGCATTCTTGATCAAACAAATTCAGCCTTGGCGAATATAAGAGACTTCTTTCAAAAACAAAAAACAAACAAAAATTATTGCAAACTAATTTGGGATTTTTTACAAATGGATAATATTTATGTAATTTATGTAAACATACGATTTTATGTTTGCATGTCATAGTTGAATGTACACATCTGCATTCAAGGGGAATTCAAGGAGGAGAGGAAAGCAGCAATGAAATCAAATATATACAGTAGAGGCATGATAAAGTCAGGGTAATACTCTTATAGGGACATGCAATGATGGATAATGACCAATAATTGTATAGGGGGTAGTAAATTATGGTATAATGCTGGGTAAAGGAAGTCAACACTTGACTGGTGCATGGAGCAATACGGTAAATAATGGGTCTGCAAAGTAATGGTATTGTATATGGAGGTGGGGCTGGTGGTTGACACCATACCTGAGGACAGTCCCCACCTTTAACAATAGTTGTACAGGGCTGTATCAAACGCCAGCCCCGGGGGGAGCTCCGATGGCATCTACCATGCCCGCTTCTACTCAAGGTTGAAGATAGCACAGGGGAGTTTGTGTGGGTCCCTGGGCATGGGCAAACACCACAACAAATATAAATCACCAACAAAACCAAGAATATACACATACAATTCTATTCATTCACTCAAGTAAGCAAATTATGCCATTACCCATCATCTATATTTCCTTGTGATGCATAGCCGCATAGATGTTGATTCTGAGCTCATATTTAACACCATCTATACTTTTTAAATAAAAGGTTCTTTATTGGCATTTATACTTCCGAGAAGAACCTTTAACGTCCATGGAACACTACCAGTGCACAAAAGCTTCTTCATTGTGGAAAAAGTTTTTTAAAGAACTGTTCTTCACAATAGAAAAAAAAATGGTTCTTCATGCCTGTTATAAAACGTGCATGTGTTGGTAAATACCTCAACGGTATCCATGAAGCCCCCAGTAGCATCTGTTACTGAGTAATGTGTGTGTGTGCAGATGGCAGTGGTCACTTGCCAATGTAATCCCCCAACCCTTCTTCACCTTTACTCATCTGTGACCTTCATAAACTCTTGATCTAAATGCTTCCACCTTCTTAGCCATCACTGCCCTTTTGATTGACTGTGAAAATCACTAGACATATTCATTTATGTGAATAGTCCCAACGTGAGGAGCAGTAGCGTCTCTTCCCATGAAGAAACAGCAGGACACTAAGCCACGTTTAAAAAGACCGCTTTAAACAAGCTTAAGGACTAAGATCCCCCAATAAGCCTGTGACATTTTCATTAATTAAAATGCAGTCACATGTAGACAAGAACTACAACAAATGTGCATATACAACGTGCACCCCTTGAGAGATTATGCACAGAATAAAACAGTAGCAATCTTACGATAATTGAATAAAATTCCCAAGATTCTATATGCATTACTTGAGCACATGATTTTTCCAACAACATTAATTGGAGCTTCTTGTTACACAAACCAGACTCGTATTAGACCTAACTGGGTGTACAGTTTAGCCATGAAGCTACACATATATAGGCCTTAAAGGGCTAATTCACTTTTGGAAAGAGGGGTTTTTAATAAAGTTTGTGTCTATACAGTAAATAGGCATTTTTAAAAACGAGTGCTATTTCACTAGAGAAAAAAGAGAAACGGGCTGTGGCGAATAAAGATAGTAAAACTTCAACACCCATAATGCACTGGGATAGATCTGATACAAAATGCGAAGTACTAACTGTAGTTTTCACAAAAGGCCTGAAACTGTCAAAAGTCTGAAGAATGATGTAAAACATTATCTGGCTGACTTTTGCTGACAAATAAATAGGGATATATTGGTGTAAGTAACAGAGAACGAGTATACATTGTTTGTTTACATATCACTGTAACAATACAAAGCTGGTTGAAAATCAACAAATTAACCCTTTAAATGCACACAAATACAAACATCTTCATAGCAATCAAAATCAGTACTTTTTTTCATTTAAAGATAATTATAAATAGTACTGCATGACTCTAATCCAAACTCTAAATTATTAAAATAATAATAATAATAATAATAAATTCCAATAAATTGGACATATCCAAAGTAAGGTTTTGTCATATTTAGTACACTTCAGGGGACAAATTTGTACTGAAGTACGACTACACTAAGAAACCAACACACACATGCATTCTCTCCATCCAACCCGGAAGAAAAGCAGTTCAACCTAAGGATAAATTATCCTGAGTAATGTGCCTGCTGATATTGATTTAACTTCCACTCTGTGTTTTGGCTCAATGGCCACCTTGTTGAATTTGTAATTTAGTACAACAGCATCCAGGCACAAACAGAAATATAGATAGATAGAGAGAGAGAGAGAGAGAGAGAGAGAGAGAGAGAGAGAGTTGCAGTGTTATGACTAGTCTGCAATAAAAAAAATTGTATATAAAAATAAATAAAATAGTGAAACTGAGACCTAAATTAAACAACTGGAGGCTGGCCATACTATGGCAGACCCAATCATGCATTTATCTCTGGCACCTGCTCTGACATCTGTGTGTCGGCACCTTAGTGGACCTGAGTAGCCCTGAATGTCAAAGAACAATTAAAGTGCCCCTATTATGCCATTTTTAAGGTTGCTAGTATTGTTTTATGAGTCTCCTAAAACAGGTTTACATGCATGCAAGGTCAAAAAACGCTTTAGTTTTCTCAAAAAATTGATTTAATTTTACCTAATTTCTAAATGGTTCGTAAACGACTCGTGCGAAGCAGTTCAAAGAATCAGTCTCTCTAAACCCCTCCTTTCCGTGAGCCCTCACTGCTGTGATTGGTCAGATGGCACAGTCCTTTGTGATTGGCCCAGAGCTGTAGAGAGATTGCTCTGGATTGGTCTACCGCATACAGCGTGTGTCAGAAACGAAACGCCCATTGCCATGATGGAATGACAGCCCTGGAGACTTGTCAATACATAGAAAAGATGGTATCGATTGATGATGAAATGGTTCAACTGGCTGATCGACAAGAGACTGATTCGCAAGCACGACTGGAGCAGGACGTTTCTCAGTGGTAAGTGTCAAGTGTTAACAAGTTTGTGGTAATTATAAGATAAGATATGATAAAACAAATTGTTCAAAGAATTATTCCGTCATGGCAATGGGCGTTTCGTTTCTGACACGCGCTGTATGCGGTAGACCAATCCAGAGCAATCTCTCTACGGCTCTGGGCCAATCACAAAGGGGGTTTAGAGAGACTGATTCTTTGAACTGCTTCGCACAAGTCGTTTACGAATCATTTAGAAATTAGGTAAAATTAAATCTATTTTTTGAGAAAACTAACGTGTTTTTTGACCTTGCATGCATGTAAACCTGTTTTAGGAGACTCATAAAACAATATTAGCAACCTTAAAAATGGCATAATTGGGGCACTTTAATTGTTCTTTGAACAATTTGTTTTATCATATCTTATCTTATAATTACCACAAACTTGTTAACACTTGACACTTCAGAAATTTTACTCTTTGTGGGCAGGCAAGTTGGCGACATAGAACGTGGTCAGACATTATGCAAATGTCTTACGTCGTGACGTAGAGCCGTAACAGAATAAAATTTGAATTCCTGACGACTCATTTAGGCGATTGCGAGCCGACTCTTTTTTTTTTTTTATAGACAATAACTTTATTTATCTTGCATTGTCGGCTTCTCAACTTTGCAGATAGTTTATGTTCACATACAGCTACATGACACACTGCATGAAAGGTAATATTCGAAAAGGCATAATAGGGGCACTTTAAGATGTAGTGGCAGTTATCATAGCATCTACACAGCGGTGTTGATAGTAGTGATACTTTCAACACAACTTTTATCTTCAGCTAACGGCACTTAAAATCAATGATGTGAAAGCAGATTTTAAGCTTCTGTTTTGCAAATGTGGTCAACCAAATGTTAAAAAACATGATTCTAATTCAAAACAAGAAAAGTTGTTTTGATTTATTTTTATTTAAACCTTAACATTGTGATTTGGCTGGGAGCTAAAAATGAGCTTAATACTGATCATGACAGTTATGGTTATACTGCATTATTCCAACAACTTTGGAACCTAATACTTGAAAATAATGATTAGAATGACACTCAGGTGTCAAATCCAACAAACTCCAATCTCAGCAAGAAGCGTCAGCTGACGTCATTTAAAAAGATGGTGGTGACTAAAGAGCATCGTACAACATTATGGTCATAGCGTAATATATAAAGACGCCTTTTTTCTTTTTTTATACAGGCTGTTTTTACTACAAATGCAGGCATTTTGAGTTAATTTATGTTCATAATTGGCACAAAAATGCTAAATATGCTTGGCACCATCTTGTGGTGTACAATGTGATCGTGGTGTGTGTGATTAACTGGAAAGTATTATGGAGTGCAGCAAAACATCCAATAATATTGAACTATTGGGGTCAAAGTTTTAATGCTAACATTTTCTTAATAAATTTGCCATATTATAAGATACACAAGAAAAACAATATTTGATTTTTATTTTAATCTTAACAGTGTGATTGAATTGGAAGCTAACAATTAGCTTAAAAGTGATCACAACAGTCATGCTAATATGGCATACTAGATGAAAATGAGAATTTTAAATGATAATTTTAATTAAAAATATAATAGATTAATAATTATTAAATTATTGTTGTAATATTGGTTTTTATTTAATTATTGTTATTAATCTGTATTTATTTCAATAAATGATTTGTATTCTAAAACATTTCACATTCAATATAACATCAAATTTTCAAATATAAGAAGAACATTTTAATATATTATAATGCATTTGTCTTGGTCCAGTAATTGTAATATAATGTTTTTCATTCAGATGTTTTTACCTTTTCATTCTGGAAAGGATACTGGGGGAAAATCGGGGAAGTCATGGCCTAATGGTTAGAGAGTTGGACTCATAACCCAAAGGTTGCAGGTTTGCGTCTCGTACCAGCAGGGATTGTAGGTGGGGGGAGTGAATGTACAGCACTCTCTTCCACCTTCAATACCATGACAAGGCCCTGAACCCCACCAACTGCGCCCTCGGTGTGGCAGCAAAAATGACTGGTGTGTGTGTGTGTGATACTGGGAAAAAAAAAAATCAACATAATGGACAATGTGCTTTTTTTGCCCTGCAATATTTTCCTGTTTCACACACAACAAGAACGTCCTCTGCTGAGCATATGTTTCTCAATTAATGCATTTGTGCATTACCTGCAGTGACTGTGTCCTTCTCTTTTGCTGCCAGTTCCTCAACCTCGGCTCTTCTTCTGAGCTCAAATCGGCGAGAATAACCCTCCTTTGGCTTCCAGAGGTCCTGCAAGAGGAGGGGTTTCTCGTTGTTCCCTAGTGCCCGAAGGCACTCAGTCTGCCACCATCGATCTGGGCCTTCAAACCGTCCAATCACGTCACATAACACATAGCTGCAGGCTGAGGCCTTGTTTAGAGAATAGCGCTCAAGCGCCTCTTTGATCAACTCTTGGGCGCTGGAACGAGGTGTGGCAAGAACGCTTTTGTAGTTAGCGCCGGCGCTGATTTCATCGCCAAATATCTTCAGCACACCTGGTGCAGTTGATTGGGTGGAAAGCTCAGCTGGATCATCCCGTACCTGCTCAGGTAGGTCGGTAACAGAACGACGATCCCGATAACTCAGTGTCCGATACAGAACCTGTGTAAAAGTGCGATTTTGACGCTTCAGACGGTTCTTGGATGGCAGAGACATGCTGGCAGATGAGGAACCGTAGAACATGGTGCCGGAACTTGCATTGGTTAAAAAACTCCTAGAACTGAGAAAACAACAAATTGTAACAACTGGAAATAAAGAACTGAGTTCTAAACCTATCAAATGTATATAATAAATATATATTTTAACATAAATTATGTATATAATATAAATAATATTAATATAATTAATATATTTTAAATATAAAACAATATATAACATACCCTATTTTAATTTATTAATAAAACTGCAATAAGTTACAGTATAGTAAGCTTATCATGTAGGCCTAATTTCAACACTATAACCTAATATTGCTTGCAGTGAGGGGAACCTGGCAGTACTGTACAACCAGAGATATAGATGAGTTTCATACACACACCTAGAGTCAGAAAGACAGACAGAAATAGACAGGATGGGCAAGGCTGAATTTTTGTGTAAAGCAAACAGGGATGTTGCCAAGTATATGATGGAAAATACAGCTTGATGGCCAGTTCTGGCCAGCTATAATACAATCATTCACGATATCCAGTAATCCACTAAAAAGAACAATAGCATTTACATTACATTAGAAAAACTAAAACAGCTCATTGCATGATGATTAGAGACAGATTGAATAAACAGATAGATAGATAGATAGATAGATAGATAGATAGATAGATAGATAGATAGATAGATAGATAGATAGATAGATAGATAGATAGATAGATAGATAGATAGATAGATAGATAGAGACAGGGTGCGAACTACGGGGGAGCTAGGGGGAGCTCAGCTCCCATTAATATGACATGGGCTCCCCTGGAAACGTGATTTGTGAAATTTTGGGGGGTCTCAAAAAATATTGACAATGTGTTATTTTGACGTGCAATTTCAGTTTTGTGTATGTGATCATCGTGGATTATTATGTGTAAAATTGCAAAAATATCATTCATTCATGCATGACGGCGATTTAAACCTAATTCACTTCAATAAAGATAACTATACATGCTATTCTTGCCATGAACATCAAGGTGTGGGGGCACTGTGGTGAAAATTCCACTCATGTTTAGTACATGTTAACTCAAAGATTCGTAGAAGATGTTGCCAAGTATATGACGGAAAATACAGCTTGATGGCCAGTTCTGGCCAGCTATAATACAATCATTCACGATATCCAGTAATCCACTAAAAAGAACAATAGCATTTACATTACATTAGAAAAACTAAAACAGCTCATTGCATGATGATTAGAGACAGATTGAAAAAACAGACAGACAGATAGATAGATAGATAGATAGATAGATAGATAGATAGATAGATAGATAGATAGATAGATAGATAGATAGATAGATAGATAGATAGAGACAGGGTGCGAACTACGGGGGAGCTAGGGGGAGCTCAGCTCCCATTAATATGACATGGGCTCCCCTGGAAACGTGATTTGTGAAATTTTGGGGGGTCTCAAAAAATATTGACAATGTGTTATTTTGACGTGCAATTTCAGTTTTGTGTATGTGATCATCGTGGATTATTATGTGTAAAATTGCAAAAATATCATTCATTCATGCATGACGGCGATTTAAACCTAATTCACTTCAATAAAGATAACTATACATGCTATTCTTGCCATGAACATCAAGGTGTGGGGGCACTGTGGTGAAAATTCCACTCATGTTTAGTACATGTTAACTCAAAGATTCGTAGAAAAAACATAAACGTTGGACTCTGTGGTCGATTCTGTGTTAAGGTAAGGCACGTTATTCGCAATTATGTGTTGTGGCTGGGTTGTTATAGGTCTGCGTGACTCTCGATGTCTTAGGCCTAACTGAACGGAGGAATTATGG